TAGATAGATAGATAGATAGATAGATAGATAGATAGATAGATAGATAGATAGATAGATAGATAGATAGATAGATAGATAGATAGATAGATAAAGAAGAAATGGCAAAACCGAAAATATGATCTGGGAAATCCTGTGATCAAACAAGAATGAAAAAAATGAGAAGAAATAAATAGTCACTCCCGATGTATTTTTTCTTTCTCAGTTTTCTTTCCTTTCTTTTTCTGTCTAAAGGAACCAGTAGAATCTAGGCCATATTATATGATAAAAGAACACAATTGCGAACCTATCTCAGGAGAATATTATACATCGTATGTGGCCTAATAAAGGTAGTAAAATAAAGCGCTACGAGCAGTGTTGGCACAGACGGATAGTGAGCTTTTCTGGAGGGTTTTTTTCGGGATTTTGTTTTTCTCCGATTTCATTCTCACCCCTCCCCCCTTTCTTAATGAAGTACCCCGTCCTTTCTTTTTATTTTCTTCACAGTTTTAATTGTTTCTTTTTGCTTCTTTTCCTTTTCTTTACTTACTTTAAAAAAAAACTTTTCTCCGTTTCTTTTCTTTTTTCCTTATTATTGTTCTGTTGTTTATTTCCTTTTATCTTTTGTTTTGTTTTGTTTTGTTATTTGTTTTGTTTGTTGGGTTTTTGGTTTGCCTAAATTCGATGTTTTTGTTTCCAAGACCCTTTCGTCGACTGACACACTGACAGAAAAAGAAAACTATGCCGCATTTCGCATTTACCAGGTTTCATGGCGCTCTTTTCGCGCCAGTGAACGAGAGGGTACAGCGGGGTGGGGTGGGAGGGGCAAGAGGGGCGCGCGGGGACAGGCGCAGACGTGAAGCGGGTGACAACACAGAAGCAGAGCCCAGCAGGCAGCAGGCAGGCAGGCAGAGGCAAGAGCACCGACCAGGTCGCACCAACGTCGTCCGCGCGCGACGCGTAAAACTCCGTCACAACTTCGCTTCACTCGTCGATGCGAAAAGCTTCAAACACGCGGCCTGTCTCGCGTTCTCTATTTCTTTGCCCCCTCCTCCTCCTCTCTCGGTTGGTTTAAGTTTTAGTCGCATGCACGTAGCGAAGAAGAAGAAGGAAGGAACGAACGAAAGAAGGAAGGAACCTCGTGTTGGAAGACTTCTGTGTTTACAGCGGTGGTGGTGGGCACGAGTTGTTGTAGTAGTAGTTGTGTAGTTGACAGAGCCGCCCCGGTAGGCAAGACGTCGTGAAGAGAAAACCAGCAAGTTCTGTCTGAACTGAACACACACACACACACACACACACACACACACACACACACTACGTTTGAGTTTGACAGGACATCAGAACAGTTCGGTGTGTTGTGAGGGAGTATGTGGAGCTAGCTGCCCCCCTCTGTTGTCATGACAGGCAGGAATTGACATTCGAGTCTGCTGCTAGCTGCTGTGACAGCTCGGAAGATGCTAACGGCCTGGGATGGATTACCGCTGCTGCACTATTCTGCTGACCTCTGCCCTCGCGACCCTTCTGTATCTGAACACGCTTGGCGCGGATTTTGCTTATGATGACAGGTGGGTGCTGGCTGGTTAGTGGCTTGGTTGCGAGCAGCACGTCGAATTGTATGACCCACTTCTGTTCTTACCTTTGGCTGCTGTCATTTCTTGCATCTCTGTCTGTCTGTCTGTCTGCCTGTCTGTCTGTCTGTCTGTCTGTCTGTTTGTATCTCTCTCTCTCTCTCTCTCTCTCTCTCTCTCTCTCTCTCTCTCTCTCTCACACACACACACACACACACACAGATACACTCCCACACACACAATCTGATATACACCTAGGTACAGCTGCATGACTGAATAACGATCAAGTAACTTAACCCAAGTTAGAATAGATCATAAATCAAATGCATCAATAAACACCTAATATAGGTAAGCCTGTGGGAGATTAAATAGTGGGTGAAACGATTAAAAGTAAAAGCTTTAGGTACCGATATAATAATATATTATTCATTCAGTGAACTGGAACGGCAATAGAAACCGGCACACGAAACTTCGTATCACTAAATTACTTAATGACTAAAGGCTGAGGAAGAACAAATTGAAATATCAGTTGTAGTACATGTATATATTTTGTACGCATCGTTCTGTCTCAACAGAAGATAGTTATGTTATGAATAATAATATTATTGGTCCATAATTCTAATTATTAATAAATGTATCCTTTAAATGACCACCCCGTTATCTCTATATAGGAGAAAGCAAAATTATAAGTGAGATAATATAATATAATGTAACAGAAGAGAAGCAGAGGCATAATACACGAAAGTCAATGAATGAAATGGTCAGAATAATTATATTCTATTCTGATAATATTCTGCAATTGAACATCGAGTTGTTAGGCTAGACATGCCGAAGCTTTCTGCCGTATCCTTCATGGTTTATACATGTGGAGTTGTTCGAATGCCGATGCAGGTGCGTAGATTGGTGTGTGTGTGTGTGTGT